TCTGCGGTTAATGAATGGTGAAATAAAAAAAATGTCATATAGGCTTTTACAAGTCAACTAGTGCAAAAAAGGAGGACGGTTGGACATCTTATAATAAGCTTTTCTTTTCTTTTTTTTTTTTTGCTTTTTAAAGAACTTAATTTAAGATTGCACTCAACAAGGAACAAATCCTTCCTAACAAAAAAGTAACTTCAGGCAGTGTTTAAAACACAGAATCTTTATTTGAAATAAAGTATGGGATTGTTTTGTAATTATCCAGGAAAACACCGACTTAACAGGGGTAGTGGCAGTATTGCCAGTTTAAAGACTGGCTCGTCTTAGCTGAAATATATACATACGTCTGGTTAGTGCTGCTGAATGAGTTGAGGTCTTCGGCTAATGAAAGCAGAGACTCTACAACACTTGAAAAAGATTTCACCAAGGATGCAAGTTGCAAGCGCTCCCAATGCGTCACGTGAGCATGCGGGTGGGGCGGAAGTGAGGACCGTAGTCTTCCTGTTCCATCGGTCCCACCTTAGTTTGGACGGCTATGCGGATGAGTGTAGGTAGGATGAAACTCTGCTGGTGTAACTTTTTGTTTTGGCTTTTAGCGCTACAACCTTCGGTTGGCCGTTATCACTCGTGGCTTGCAATGCTTCTCTACGGAAGCGAGCTTTGCACGGCCTTTCTTGCATCTTTAACCCAGTTTGTGTTTCTAATGTATTAGCATACTTTCTGGTCACAGAGCTAACTGTTGACTTCTCTAAAGGCGCTAAAGAACATGTAATAGTTGAAAAGCGTGAAAGGTGATTTTTCAGACACTCCGAGTTGTTTTGTGGTATCTGGAGATTCCTCAAAGACTCCTGTAGCGATCACGACTAAAAAGAATTCGTCCACGAAAGGATTACAAATATTTGATTTCGTTTCCTAACTTAGGCTTTTGCTTCCGAATGAAAATAAAGATGGCAGCCCATCTGCTGCAAGAATAACATGGGAAATGGCATTTCAAAAACGTATTTTGCATGGATAGGATTGTTTGGAAAGGTCTTTCGGGAGTCTCCAAACAACCCCGGTACGATAGAAAGTGCCTTTGAATAACATTCAGTAGTTTTCGAAAGTACCCGCTAAGTTTACTTTTAGGATAAACGGTGGTTAGCTCGGTTACCGCTGAGCTGCTATTGGAAACTAAAAAAGGGGCACAAAGTGACAACAAATATTCGTATTCTTTCTTTACTGCTGCTTTTGAACTTCTATGTATATAAAAGTTGTTAAAATTCAGTCCTAAGCGAAACACACAAATAGGCGACGTGAAATATGTATACTGCATGGTGTGTCACGTGACATGACAAAAATGAATGGCCAGACCCCTTTGGGTCAAAGTTAATTGACATGCAAACATATGATAATTGTGTTTTTGCTGCACTCTCCATTACCCTCTATGTTGAATGGTATTTGCACTGCTTTTAGTTCGTCTTAAGATCAGATGTCTCAAACTGCATAGCAGTGTAACCTCGAAAAGGAGCGCTTAAAAACAACAGTAAAATTTAATTCTCTTTAGCTTTATTTATGTAGTGAGTTTACAACAAGCTCAGAAGGCCTTCATGTAGTCTGTTGATGAATAAAGTCTAACCAGATGACAGTACTACATGTGATTATTTTGCACAGCACAGCAATGGATCACAGCGCAGCCGATGAGAGTCCTTCTCCCAGCAGACAACCTTCAAGTCCTGCTTCTAGAACAACTGTGGGTGTCAAAGGACAAGTGTCACTGAGCAGTCAAAGGCCCAAAGTATTGATAACTCCCTTTCACAGCTCACCCATAGCCAATGCAGCTTTTCACAGCAAACGGACAGCAACTGGGAACCCTCTGGGATCTCCTGTCAGCTTTTTTCTGGGCACTGCTGGATGTGTGACCACTCCACTCTTCAGAGAAAGACATACTGCTGTTGGGAACTCAGAAAGACAGGCTCACAGTTCAGGCTCATCACAGGTGACACCAGGAAAAAAAGTGCAAGCAAGTCCGTCTACTGACAAGGTAAACAGATTTACTTTGAAATGTTCAATGGTGTGG